TTATAAAAATCTAACCTTTCATTGGATAATAAGAATTTAAAATGGGGGGAAATATCATTATGAAATAAATGTTTTTCTCTAATACACATTGGCACATTGGTTTTTTATATGAGAAAAACATTTATTTCATAATGATATTTCCCCCCATTTTAAATTCTTATTATCCAATGAAAGGTTAGATTTTTATAATTTTTTTAAATAAAAGATCAAAAGGATTAACAATGCAGATTAATTTTCACAGCCTTCTTTGATCATATTTACCAAGGGTGCTGATATTTTTGGCCATGACTGTATATTTAAAGGATTTTACAGAGGGGTTTGTTTATATATCATTTGCCTAATATTAGACAACATTTTATTGCTAAAAACATAGTGAAAATTAGTTTTTTTCCCCTCTGGCTGTTGATAGCATTGTCTGATTTATGGAGTGATAAAACATACCCAAAATCCCCTCTGTAAAAACATTTGACTCTCATCTGTCGACAAACAGAAACAAGAATTTTGAATCTGGCTTTATCCAGTGTTCAGATTTCAGTTCTGGAAAGTATGCAAATGAGTGCATATTTAAGTAGATACCACCTCATTTGCATATTTAAACATAATATTTCAGAAAACTTGTAATACAAAAATGTTTGCAATTGTTAATGTAATCAATCAACTAGGGAATTATGGTCATATCTATTAGACTTTTTTTTTTACTCAATTCAACTATATTTTTAAAAGACACTTTTCAGTACTGAATGAAATATAGTTTATTTACAATCATTGCTTTTAATTCCATGGTATGTGCTCTCCGTGTAAGTTGTAGGGTACTCACTGTTTTAGAGTCCAGCTCCGGAGGGTTGTCGTTGATGTCAGCAATGCTAATGAGGGCCGTGGCGGTGTTGGACAGGCCGAAGTTCAGGCTGCCCTCCATATCAGTGGCCTGAACTATGATGGTGTACTGAGACACTTTCTGAAACAACACAGAACATGTCCATTTTAATCAACTGAAAGGACACACATCATACATGTAAATCAGGACTTACCACAGATTTTATGCAGTTTTGGAATTAAAACAATAATAAAAAATCTACTTTTTTTTTTTCTTTTTCCTGAGGACAACCACAAAAATGTTGTTATATTTAATTTCACTTCTGGGAAAGACTGCAGAGAAATGATATCAGATGGTAATCCCATGGTAGACTGAAATTGTTACTGAATGATTACTATGTTACTTCAAAATAATATACAATTATACAATTAATATACAATGTCTATTTTAAGTGTATTGTACTGTTTTGTATGTTGTACTGTCTATTTTATTGCTTTGCTAATAGATTTTGAGTCTGGAAATAAAGTTAATATATACTATACTCCAAATCAGTGTTATTTTAGCATTATTTATATACTTTTACAGTATTTAATAATATTTTGAAATAGCTTTTATTTTTATATTTTCAGTTTTCATTTGAGTAATTTTGTCATGCGCTTTTGTCATTTTTATTTATATATTTTTTTATATTTATATAGTTTTAATTTACTATATCTGACATTTATATTTTTCTTTTATTTCAGCTTTATTTCAATGAACGAAAACAAATTTTAATAGTCTTAGTTTTTGTTAACAATAACAACACTGCTCCAAAGTACCATGGTATATGTCCATACAAACATGGTACATGTCCAAAGAACATGAAAACCTATTACCATAGAAAATAGATTCAGGAAACCATGGTAATACCATGGCACTTTTTGTTAGTGTTGTCCCTAAAGTATGACTAGAAACCTTATTCATCCATTTTATGTGATGGAACAGCCGAGCGGTCTAGAAGTTTGGCATCTAAGCCTGAACAAAGCTGTCTTACACAGACTTTGAGACTGTGCATATTTGGGAAATGGCGGCTCGTTGTGTTTGTCTGGGGATATGTCTGCCTGTCTGTCTGCTTGTATGCAGGCTTTTCTGTTAATTAGGACAAGAGGCTACAGTGAGCTCTGTTTTGCTTTGATACTTTGTCACTCAATATTTATGGAAAGACACACACCCACATGCATACACACAGATAATCAGTGTGCAAAAACAACTCTTCATCAACGGACATGAACCAGCCTGTTTGTAACCACGGATGAAAAGCAAGGGTTGCGAGGGCAACAGATGGATAGAAACATGTGCGCACACACACATCGAAGTGTTTGTTGTTGCATGGCCAACATTCCTTTGGGCACAGATCTGAAACTGTGCCCCCGTCCATGCTCGGGTGAATCTGACTCCAGTTAGTCCACACTGGGAGGAGACAGAGAGCTGAACCTGAGCCAAAGCCTCTCCTCTGCCTCTTTCAGCTCCAGCCGTATTAATCCGGTTGGCCGAAAGCCTTCTGTTGTTGTAGACAGGAAGTGGGGGGAGTCAAGGACAAGTCAGTGTTCCACTGAGACTGGTCTGGGGGACGGGTGTCTTGGAGGGAGGTGGCTGACTGCTGCTGTGAAGCAATGAATACCCTCACAAGAGCTTGCTGTAGATCTTGATGGTTTTACTTTGATGGCTTCCTTTTGTTTTAGCAGATGACTGCCCATGGGACATTACATTTAACCATAACTAAACATGAGAAATGCCTCTCTGACTCTGGCTTAGGACTGCCTACGTAGGCAGCATAATTGTGTTAATTATGTAGCCTTCTGTAAAGCCAACTTCGTGCATGCGTGTATCCTTCACAAGGGAAAAAAATGTTACAATTATATAAAAATTATAATTTATATATATCTCACCTTATATTTCATATAATATAGATAATATATTTTTTATTTGAGCAAAAACATACTAAAAATACAGTACCTTGTAAAAAATACTGTAATATTAAGAAATATTATTACAATTTAAAATAAGTCTATTTAAATATATTTTAAAGTATTATTTATTCTTGTGATGGCTGAATTTTCAGCAGTCATTACTCCAGTCTTGAGTGTCACATGATCCTTCAGAAATCATTTTATATACTGACTTGCCAATGTTAAAAATGTTGCGCTGCTTACATTTTTTGTGTTACCCTAAAGCATTTTTTCAGGGTTCTTTGATGAATAGGAAATTCAAAACAAACAGAATTTATATGAAATAGAAATCTTTTGTAACATTATAAATGTTTTTATTGTCACTTTTGATCAATTTAATGCATCTTTGTTGAATATTAATTTCTTAAAGTGCCCCTATTATGCCATTTCGAATCTTGCCTTTCATACAGTGTGTAATGTAGCTGTATGTGAATGTAAACAATCTGCAAAGTTGTAAAGCCGAAAGTGCACGATAAATAAAGTTACTGTCTCCCAAAAGAAAGAATCGACTCTGAACAGCCTAAACGAGTCGTCAGTAATTCAAGTCCCAATTCCATGATGGCAACACGTCGCGGGGTAACACATTTGCATAATGCCTGTCTATGTTCTAAGTTGGCCGGCCACAAACAACTTGACCCGCCCTTAAACACTGCAGCTTGTTCATGTGGTTAACATCATGTCGAGAAGACGCTGTGTCCTACGCTGGGAAAGTAAATTCATTTTATTTTCACTTCCAAAAGATGAGGCTGCAAAGAATCAGTGGTTAAAATTCATCTTTTCCCACTGTACCACAGCAGTACAACCCCAATCTTTTTGTGTTAATGTATTTTACTGACGATTGCTTCTCTAATCTCGGGGAGCTCAACGCATGATTCACAAAATGCTTGCTCTTGAAAGATGGCTCAGTACCCAGTTTATTTGGACCAGCTGGCTCCACTGAATCACAACCTGTAAAGTATGATAACTAATAGATGTTTATATTTTCTATTGAGCGTTCAAAATATAGAACTATGGCAATTGGCGAATCATTTCCAATATGCGCTGTACTTGGTATCAATAACAACAGACTGGGCCATCTGACCAATCAGAGCAGAGTAGGCTCACGGAAAGGAGGGGTTTAGAAAGACTGAATATTAGAACTGCTTTGAATGAATCGTTTGAGAATCTTTGGAAAATGAGGTGATATTAAATGCATATTTTGAAAAAACTAAAGTGTTTTTTGACCTTGCATGCATGTAACCCTATTGTAGGAGACTCCCAAAACAATATTAGGAACCTTAACAATGGCATAATAGGGGCACTTTAAAAAATAACTTACCTTAAAATTAAACTTTTGAACGGTAGTGTATATACAGTATAACGTACAATCAATATGAAAAAAGATTAAGCGCTATTTATATAACACATGGAGTGGGTGCACCATAGAGAGTTACAAATCGGTCATCTATGATTTTAGTTAAAATGCCTTAGTAGAGAGCTCAATAGGGAATAAAAAAAGATTTCATATACAGTATAAGGAAGAAGGAAGGCATCAAAGCATGTACGAAATCACCGTCTACTAAGATGCATTAATTTAGTCTGTTGAGGGCAGCATAGCATTTATCCTTCTCTATCTATGATATTCCCACAGCTGTTGGTGGAAGTTTTAAAGTAAATTAATATCATAAATATTAATTTTTTCAATTTCAGATTCAACTTCTAATGGGAAATATGCATTGTAGTCAATAAATATTTATTTGGTTACTTCTAAAGCTCACTTGAATTTGTTTTAGCTCAATGGACGTGACCTTATGATGCCTGGAAGCCTGTCTGATACCAGTTTCCTTAGTGGGAACCTTCATTCAACTTTTTGTTAATTAACTGACTGACTGGACAGGTCTTTCAGAGTATTTCTTTCATAATCTTTCTGTCTACCCATCCATATTTCACTCTCCCTCAGGTAGCTGTATTTAAGAGGCAGGTCAGGGACTCCTCAGAGGAGCTCTCATGGTTTTATGGCACTTAAAGAACCGCAGAGTACTGCGGACACACACTGAGAGTCATTAAAACCTGCGTCTTCTCGTTAATATTGACCAGTTCGGCTCAATTAATGAGAAGTCAATAGTGGCTGACCTTTATTAACACAATAATGAAATATCAATACTGTCTCCTCTGGTTATGCTCTGCAGAGAACAAGAGAAACAAATCAGTGTGTAATTAATCTTGCACATTTTTCATACAGCGCCGGCTGCGGGAACGGAGAACGTGACACCAAGAGATGAGCTTAAACACATTTCCAGTCCTGAAGAGAATGTAAAACAATTACACCTCAGGACAACTGGCAGAATCTCTGAGACTTGAGAGCAGATCCAGCGAGAGACGAGTTTCATCCATACAGACTCTCACACGCTTGAGTCAACTGTTATGAGGAGCATTACACAGCCCAACAGGCCCTGACCTCACTTCTCCCACACACCTCGCTCGCTCCCTCGGGAGAAAAGGGAATAGAAGAGGTGATAAGGGGAAGGAGAGGAGGAGATGATAGTGGAGAGAGTGCAACCAGAAGTTATGATTCTCCCCGTCTCACACAAAGAGGGAGTTTTGGATCATCTGGGAATGACTGGCACTCACACACACACATGTACTTCACACCGATCGATTTCCTAATGAGGTGCGGCAGAGTGGACACGTTCTAACCCAGACCTGACACAACTAGGCAAGCGCACACACACACACGCATGCACACAGACCACATGGCCTCTGGCAGAGACAAGAGACAGGTAATGAAAAGCAACAGCTTGGACAATCTGGCTCGAACAGATTCACAGAGCTGCAGAGACAGACATGCAGGGCTTTTAACACACACACACACACACACACACAAGACAAAAGATACAGCACTGCTGCTGCAGAACTTTTAAGCACTTTGATTTTATGTGATTCAAATCCGTTACTAAACACCATGATATATCAATCTGACAAATGAAATGAACATGCTACATTTGGTTGAAAAGCGCCATGGGATTTAAAGGGATAGTTCATGTATAAATTTAAATTCTGCCATCATTGAATCCTCATGTCTATTGAGATTGTATGACCTTCTTTCTTTCGTAAAATACAAAAGGAGATGTTTAGAACAGATTGTTCAAGCTAGTGCTGGACCGAAATAGATAT